CCCCAAAACCCCAAAACCCCAAAACCCCTAGTTTATCTATTAGCATTGAAATATTATGATTAAATTATACAAAGGGTATCTTTATACTGAATATCAGAAATTAGAGAAAATGACATACAACCCTAATTCACCTGCGAGTCTTGACCTCCGTGCCCTTGCTGTGCATAATAAGAGGAAGAAAGCAATGCGAGAACCCAAGATTAATAAGTCTGAAGAACTTCCACTAGGTAAGAAATTTCTGCTTGTTTTTAGCATTTTGTAGATTTTTTTCGAGGTTTTCATATTTACTGATAATTTGATGACTAAATTTTTGCCTAAACTAGATCACAATGCTAAATAACAAGCTAAATGTGTAAGATATGAGGCACTAAGAGCATATTTCTCAACAAATTCATAATTTTTGAGTGTAAATTTGACATCAAAAATTTAGAAACAATTAGAGAGAAATAGGTTTAGAATACTAAACGGAAATGGTAGAAAGAAACCCCAAAATTTTGAAGAAAACAGCTATAACTACACTCGGAATTGAGAGAATTCCAAGAATAATAGATGAAACAAGAGCACATTGTTTCAGAACTACTCCTATCACTACCATAAACAGGCAAAGCAAAGGAGTTCGAATACCATCAACAAGTCCTTTACTGAAAAGAAGTCTAATCCTCACAGAAGCTTCATAAAACCCGCATTGAAGCCTGTATTGAGCTATGACTCGAGGGACGTGCCAACGTCCCGTCAGAGCATTGCTAAAAGTATCCTTCCTCTTACATTTATAGAGTCTTTCTGAGAGAACAAGAAATTACACAGTAAGGCCAAGAATGGAAGTATCCACAAAAGAAAAATCAAAAATTATAAATTAAAAGAAATTAGTCGATATGAGAGGAAGAAAATTTAATCATCTCTTAGTGAACCAGAAAAGAGTTCAGAGGAAGGTAAGCAAGGGTAGCAGCAAGGATCAGAGGATGAATAGCCATATGGTAAGTAGCAGCCTCCTTGTAGGTGACCAGGTTTGAGGATTTTTAGGATGAAGATCAGTGAAATTTGGTCGATGCAGGCTCTTGAGAAGGCATCCAGAGTAACCCTAAGGAGTTAAAACTTGGCAGAGGGACTATTACCTGAAGGCACATTGGGAGAAATGACTTGTAAGTAACAATAAGTGGTGATTTTCAGGATGATTTGATAAGCTAATTTATGTATAGAAGCAAAGAGATTCTTGCTACTGAACCTTGAACTAATAATTTCAATGAAGAGATTGGAAGAGAAATCATCTCTGAAATCATAAATACGGATGACATAAGCATGGAAGAGGAGAAATCTCATCTTTGTAAATCAAGCATTAGAAAGAAATGCAAACGCGAGCTTTCAATGAATTCCGACGCACAAATGGAGTCTGAAGATATTCTTCAAGGCAGAGTACTCAATTTTTCAAAATAACAGTATTTATCAGAACTTTACCTTTTAGGTTTCTGGAGTTTTCAGAATAATAAGAATTTGAAGAAGACGAGGAAACCATTACAGTTAAGATACATGAGGAACTATGGAGAGATGCTCCTCGAGCGGTACCTTCTCCGAGAGAAAGATATACGTGACCCTTTGCTAGGACACAGCATTTCTCGACAGACTAGAGGGAAGGTTGCGAAATGGATCAGAAATGTCTGAGAGTCACTGAAAACCACTCAAACTTGCCCCAGGCTCTACAGTCTAGGTAAGAGAACTGCCATTACACTTTAGCAATGTACATTTTCGATTATCTCCTCTGGTCTCAGCAAGGTAAAGATTCGATAACGAACCAGAACATTCACTTGATTTCAGTTGTGAGTATTTTCATGGCATCAAAATTTGAAGGTAAGTCAAAAATCATACTTTCTGGTTTGGAAATAACTCCCCTCTAGAAGTTGAGCCACTCAAGTTAAAATATGTTTACAAGAACATTGCACACAAGGAGTTCAGTAAGAATAAGATCATTATCACTGAGCGTAATATACTAAAAATAATATCCACTCTATCATTTGTGATTGCTTATGACTTTGTGGCCCTGATAACAGAAAATTTGCAGACCTTTACACCGGAAGAAGAGGCTATCTTGAAGCTTTTCATCGAGCAGTGAAATCATAGATTAGAAGAGTGTATCATTCATCCCTATTTGAGTCAGTTTAAGCCATCCACATTGTCAATTATTTGCCTCAACCTGGCCCTTAACGAGTTTGCACAAAAGAGTAAGCCTTTTGGCCATATTTTAGCAACCTATTTGGAAGATGTAGATAAGGAGAATATTAATATTTCCAACCAGGAGCAATCAGGCAACGCTAGAAGTGAGTATCTGAAGTGCAGGGTCCCCTTTACAAAAATTAGACATAACCGTAGCAGGCCAGTTAACTCTTTAGAGCGGTTGAAAGAAGAGTTAAGAATTCGGGCAACCTCGAATTGCGCATATTTGGCTCCTAAGAAAACTCAAAATTCTTCAAATTGTCTTAAGAAAAAGTTGGTAAGGAGGTGGAGAAGCCAGATTAGTAAATTAGAGGAATATGGCATGACAATGCCCGATATTGAACGAATTATCTAAACCTCTAAGTTTATGGACATTTCTGGCCATCCAGATTTCCATAATTAGCTTTCAAAATTAATTTCAAGTTAAATATTTTCTAAAGGGGTTTTGGGGTTTTGGGGTTTTGGGGTTTTGGGG